ATCAAAGATCTTAATAATCTCAACTGTGAAGCACTTAAATCAAAAAATTTAAAATCAAAATTTTGTTACAATAGAGAGATTTCGCATGGCATGAAAGTACAACTTATAACGTATACTTATACTTATAAGTAAACGTACAAAATGTTGGCTTTTCGTCAGGAAAGATCTTCTTGGACTGTAATAAATAAAGGTCAAAGGGATGCCATTTGTACTTTCTTGAATTTTAGCATGTTTAGTTGATCCAAATGTGTTTTTCTAGAATAAAATAGGCTCATATATACTACATATGTTATAGACCTATCTATTCTCAAATTGACTTTTTGGAGATGCTCGTTATGAAACACCCTGTATGTCATTTGTTGAGCTACTAAATGGGTCGTTTCCAGTAATTGCTAGAACCTACTGGTTTGATTGATGTTTAAAATTGATGGTTAAAGTATTTGATTGGATACTGTTCCTACTCAGCCAATTAATTTTAAAAAATGCTTGCGGTCAATTGTTCCACACACATGTAGGTAAAGCTTTATACGGAGATCCAACTGTATACGTTTATCATATATATACCGTTTTGTAAGTTCATTGAACTTATACTGATCATGAAAACTTTGAAATAATCAACTTGTTTATTTAATGACTCACTTTAAAGGATCATGACTCACTTTAAAGGATCGTGTTTATAATACACTACAACTACTAGGACATGGAAGCAAGCATTTAATTATAGTGTGCATAATCTACACGTGCAGATGACAGTGCATTCACAGTCTCTAGTTGATGGAGCTTTTCTATATCGGGAATAGATATGTTCCATTAAGTACAATTTAAAATTGATTTTAGTAAATGTAATAGTTCGACATGACCCTTTAAACTATACGTATATGTATAAGTTGTACTTTCACTTATGTGCGAAATCTCTCTATTGTCACACTAATCTACACTTATATCTTACTAGTACCCTTTTTGTAGATCATGTTCTGTAAGTTGGTATTATCACAACCCTTTTTACCATTACCTAAAACAAGTGATATATTAGTTGAACAATTTATTTTTGAAGATTTATTGAACAATAAGAAAACATTGTTAATGTTAATACACTATTTATATACAATATTCTTCATTTACATTGATTGATTTTGGATTAAATCATTTACATTACTGATTGACATAGCATAGATAGAGTCAAATTGATCCCTTAACTAGCTAAAAATGAATTATATTCATGAGTTATATTAGCAATGTAAATACCTCCAATATTATACTACTAGATCACTTCTGAAGTCTAAAATACCATGTATACCCTATTAATAGACAACTTACAGATTATTTCTCATCATTAATGTCCCAGTTAATGTGTGATCATTTACACTACTGATTCACCTAACAGATAATTAATTTTAAAACCATTAAGAGGTCAATCTGACTCTTACAGTAATCTACCCTTGATGTACTTTTACAAGTTCGCAATAACTCGAATAAATCTAAATGAATAATTAATTGTTTGTTAACTGAACTGATCACTTCAATGAATTCATTGATACCTGTTTAATTTTGGATAAATTAATTCTATATTATTATTTCAATTTGCACAGTGACTTGGTCCATCAAGTTAAAGTTGAAATATTATGAACTAAAGGAATTCAAAACTGTAATCTAATTTTTTCATTTAAAGTGCTGTTTGTATTGGAATTAATAAGTCCGCCAACCAGAAGTATGTATCCCTATCATTGGCAAATAACTCAAATTAAAATTTGATGATGCAACTTTATTGTTACAACTGTCAGCATTCATAATAGTAAATTTTCCGCTGTGATAGAAGATTTTAAAGAGATGTTAAGCAGATATGTAGGTCAGAATTACATAATCATGAAAAGAATAAGTCTGAAAATACAATTGGTCAGAATGTACTAAAACCTGCTTGAAACTGAAAATCATTGCCTGCTCTATTCCACACAATTTGGAGGCTTTTGAAATTCGCAGTAACAATGAATTAATAAGTGCCTGTATATAATCATTGCATAGAAAACACTTCATGTAGTGTTTATTATGAGATGTATTGAGTAATGACCAAAATACTCCTTTGTTTATTTACTGTATACTGGAGTACATACTGGCACCCTTACATATATGTTACTCTACATATTGTAGAATAAGCCCATAAGGGCTTTGCAAAATCAACATCTTATACTATCAACCTAATAGACAGCTTGTCCAACCTTACAAGCAAACTATTATAGACAAATTTTAAGATAAGACTGGGATTGTCACATTGAATTATGATAATAAGTAAATAATATTTTTGTAATATTTTGCACCGGTATAACCATGCCCAGTAGAATAATGCACAGGGTTACCCTAAATTGTAGAAACATGAATATGTTTCTTATACGTAATTAATTTATATATCCCAAGGATTTCACCCCTTCCCTTCCTGACCAATCCTTCTATTATTTTTGATTTTTTACAATAAAAGAAACTACATCTTATCATTTTTATTCCCATATGTTATTGACGTGAGAACTCAAATGATCAATGGGAAAACAATGCTAAACTTGCACACTGAAATAGGTATTCTAGTAGGCCTAGAAAAAGATGCAACACCTAAGGGCTACAGGTGGACAAACTATTCCCCCTGAAAAGTATTTTAAGGGTCAGATCACTAAATTTATGATTGCATTAAAAAGCTTTGAATGTTAATTTTCAAGAATGGATGTATTACCAAAGAAGAAAATATGTAGAATTCACATTGTTTATTTCGAGTGATTCTTTAGTGTCAAGTTTTGTTTCTAGTGACAGCATGTTACTGAATATCTCATCAAGTGACCTAAACTTCAGCAGGTAAAATAAGCATGATGGTAAGAACTAGTATGTGATATGATCGATTTTATTTTTTGTCATCATTGTTAAGGAATACAATAATACCATTCCAATTAATGATAACTCACTTATTGTATTACTTGTGCTTGATACACATGCTGGAAGATTTTAAAATTAGTAAACCATTACCAAAACTATGGTTACCCTGTAGTAGTGAAAGGCACATTAAAAATGATATCACCCCCTTCAATCTATTTTTACGGGTTTTAATGATTATTTCACATTTTTTTCTATATTTTGCGTAACCAGGACGGTGAATTTTCTTCATTTTTCTTCAAACATTTCGTCTTACCAATATTTATTATATCTGTCAATTTCAAGAAAATCGAGCCACTACTTTTGAAGATTATTCAAATTATGTCGTTTTTCCCATTGAGCTCCATTATGAAAATGGAATTTTCAAACTTAATATTTTAAAATTCTATGTGGTGAAAAGTTGCATAATGAGTAGTTATTTAAAGTTATGGTGAAAGAAATTCAAAACAAAAAGGAATAAAGAAAAAATGCCACAGAGAAGTCTCATTAACATCTCTTTAAGTACATGCATGCTTCTATGCAGGATTAGAAGAATATTTACAGAAATTAAATTTCAAAAAAGATTAATGAAAAGTGCACAAATGCATTTTGAAGAACTAGTTAGTCAGAATAGGGTGTAACAATAGAGAGTTTTTCCATATAAAGATAAAAACACAAAAATGCTCTTAAAATCGATAACACTCCATTATCAGAGTCTAAATGTATGTTTCCTGGTGTCCCAAGAATGAAAGATGTCCTTACAATTTCACCAGTCTTCTTCTTTAACAGTTTGGGCCTTGCCATCCCAAATTCCATAGAATCAGCATTTTGTGTTATACTGTTTTTTTCTGCATAAGCTTTTAGTGCTGGTGTAATTGTATGCTATACTTGGAATTGTAACATTTAACCCTCTAAGAGTCAATAAATATGTGTGTATATTTTAATCCAGAATGAACTGTACCCAAATACCCCATGCCCAACACTTTTGCCCTTTGTATAACAATCATTATCAAGTCATCTAAATTCATACAATTGGTTATTTTGTTCTGTTGCAAAGGTTCCTTTACATGTACATGATATAACCTGAGGGAGCATGTGAAATGAAAATTGTTTTAGGGTGCCAACTACCGACTGTAAGTTTTCACAACTAAGCATACTTCCCTGGAATTTTTTTTTAATTAAATACTATATTTAAAAAATAACTTGTACATACATTTTTACACATCAAGATTTCAAGCTTTTACAGTAAAATACATTTTACAAATTGAGTTTTTAAAATACATTTTATAATATGATTACTCTCTTCATCCAACTTTTCTATGTCTAACTTCTTATCCAAATACTTTGATTGAGCTACAAATTATAGAGAAAAGCTAATACTGAACCCTTTTGTTACACATTTTACACAAATCAGATTCTTCTAATTTGTATGTTTCATAAGATCACCTTGTGGATAGATACAATTAAAAAACTAAATAGAATACTTAGAAACTTAAGTCACTCCCCCTAGAATCCAATTTTTGCAGAGTGTAGACAGAATTGGCTTTCAGGCGCGGAATTGGAGAATCATGAATTTTGATAAATTTTCGCGGATTTCTTTTTGAAGAATTGACATATTTTCTAAAATGCTGAGAAATCCTGCAGAGTTGGCCATTCCCTTGCAGAATTCACTAATTTCACTTGCAGTATTTGGCATTTAAACTGCAGAAAATTAATGACTAGTGTCTGAAGTGAATTTAAAAAGCTGATTCAAAATATTTGAACTTATGGTAAAACCAATGAATTGAATGTCACAATGTCTTTCATTAACAAGTTTCCTCTTAGTTTTTCCTTGAAATAAAAGTGTTTTTCTTGGCTCTATATTATCATACATGTCAATTTTATCTCGTTTTAAACAGGCTTTTTAAATATTCTGTTGCATTTAAGTATTTATTGTTAGATTATTTGGTCTATGTTGTACATTCTGTGAAAGCTTCAATATTATGTCGAAGGACAAAAAGTTCAGAGATGTTATGAAAACTTTTTGGTCACCCTTCGTATGTTAGAATGTAGTCACAGTAGTAATCTGTGAAATATGTTATGCCAATTGATTTTTTATGCTTACATACAGATATTAATACACATAACACAACTTTTCACAATTACCTAGAGAAGATTGCGCTAGCCATACATTATGATTGGATATACAATGTTCTTATTGGGCATTGCTGTAATATTGCAATTATTATTTCATACAGGTAACAAAATTGATATTTTTTTAATAAAGAAATTGAGAGAACTTATATCTCTATTTATATTTTTGAATATTTTCAATAGCACTTTTTGAGATATTGTTCTCTTGTGCTGGTGGGCTCTGGGGGTTGTCTCAGTGTTGATGTGTACAACAAAAACTCATCATGTCATAAAAATTCAAGGATATCTGTTTATTTGAAAGTCAACACCTGATAATATTTGGGTATGCTTGGAAAAAAGTGTGATATTTCTATATATTTTGTATATTTATTTTCCAAAATGACAGTTTGAACAAATACAGTATAATTTGTAATGTGAGTACTCATCTAGTTTTTATCTTATCTGGCAATAATTTTAAAAGCATACAGTATGGATTGTTGCCCCTTATCTAAAATTTATTATGTTTGCTGATGACACCAATCTTCTTGATAGTGATTATAATTTAAATGAACTTATGACTAGAACTAATGCAAACTTGAATTTAATAGATGACTGGATAAAAGCAAACAAACTTTCACTTAATATTGCCAAAACCAATGCTGTTCTATTTGGACCCAAAATAAATCAAACAAATTTGAATCTTAAAATATGCAATGAGAACATAAATTTCCGGGAAAAATTGACTTTCTTGGAATTATTATTGATAAAAACCTGAAATTTAAAGAGCACATAAATTCTGTTGAAACAAAGATTTCTTGCGTTATTGGTTCTCTTTATCACATTAAACATCTGCTTCAAATAGACAGTTTCAAAACAATAAACTACTCATTGATACACTCTCAATTAAATCATTGCAACATAATCTGGGGTAACACATTTAAATCATTTTATGATTGTCTACATAAACTGCAGAAACAATTCTTAAGGCTAGCTTTAAATAAGGATAGACTTTCTCTCTCCGCTCCCCTCCCCTATTTAAAGATCTTCAAACATTAAATATTTTTGATGTTAACATATATTGTACTGGTCAGTGCATGTACACAATCTTTAATAAACACCCCAGTCTTCCAAAAAATCTATTTCAAGACTTGTTTGATATCAACATTAAAGCTGGACTGCGCTCCGAAACGCAATCTTGGGTTGTTTCGGGGGTGAACTTTATCATTTTGAGCCTAATGAAAGATTATAGAATGATGAACAAATGGGGCAAATCTTGTGTAGAAATACTTACGATAAATGTGTCATTTCAAAGATTATTCATTGAATTGCTTCGATCGGCGCCGACGATATGATTTTGGAAAAGTTTCTAAATGAAGAACGTGACGTCACTTCCGAATCATAGCATTCAAAATAAGTAGCGTTTAATTACATCTAACATTCATTAGAAGACGGTGGTCTAGGGGTACAATTCTCGCTTAGCACGCGGGAGGCCCGGGTTCGAATCCCGCATTGGCCTTTTTATTTTTTTTAACTAAATGATTGTTCTTCGATATAACGCAGAAAAAAACAATTTTTATTTACATAAACTTTATATTAGAGCTTAAAAATGTAAAAACAATATATGTCAACATATTGCGTTTTGGAGCGATGTCCAGCTTTAATGTTCATCATCATTACACAAGACAGTTGCATTATTTTTATATCCCCAAATGTACAGATGTACATTGTACATCCTTAAATTAATTGTTAATACCATTTTTATATACCTACATGTAACATAATCGAAGTGCTTTCTTTTATATGTAATCTAGATGTCATTTTAAAAATTTCTGTTAAACGGCAACATATACCCACTAGGGTGTCCAGCAGCTTGTTTTTATAGTGTATATTATATGAGAATTATGAAATAAATAAATTGAATTGAATTGTATGTCAGTATTTTTTGTCTCAGTGTTTCCTTCCAAAGCCTATGTTCTAAAAATCTTAAAGCGCTATGGATGTACCAAATATTATAAATAATGATATTTCCACCAAATGATTTTTGTAAGACACACCAAGTGATGACATTCTCAAAATTCATTTCGTTCGTTACGTACCTTCACTACCTCTCTGATGTTGTTAAAATAGTTCTTAAATTCTCGGGGCACGATCTTAGAAAGCTTCAGAAATTAGTACTTTCTTTATTACGAAATCAACAACGCCGAAACTTTGATATAACATTAATCATGACGTTTACAAATGATTTTACCATCAAAATTGGTAATCAATGTTGTATTTGATGTGTCTTTAGGTAAAAATCTCCGCGGAGCAACAAATTGTAAAATGTCAAGATCGATAATCACTGGGTTCAAACATTACTACACGATTTCTAGATGGCGGTGTCAAAATTTTCTAAAAACGCTTCAAATAATATTATGTTGATTTCTGGCGAGTTCATCAATATAGTAACAAGATAGAGAAATATATAAGAAATTCAATTTTATCGATTAAAACATCACATCGACATGTTGTATTCGTTTATTAGACGATTAAAATTACGAATATGGGGATGACGTCACTTCAAAACGAACTGCATAGCAACGGTGTTAATAAACAATTTCTGACCTTGCAAATTCCTCAGTATTCATTTTTAACAGTTTGTTACGAATTACTTAATATTTTTCTTATAAATGAATTCTTACTACATAAGAAATAAACATTTTATTAAATATAACGAATAAGATCAGTAGCAAACGCAAAGAAATATATATTTTTGAAGCAGGTCAAAATATTTAGAAAGGTAAATTTCGCGGGAATTTAAACAACTGCATGAGGTAAGGCACAGGAGGTACGGATGGCACTGGACGAAAGGCTCGGAGACTGAAGTGATGATTGATGATTGATGTATTTTGTACTTGACTATGAGAATAATTTAAGATTACCTGTCCTTGAGGTCTTGAAATAGTAAATAGTAGTTAAATATGCAGGTTTTGAGAAATATGCAGGTAAATATGATAAAATAAGCTTATGTAGATTTGCAGGATAATGTAGGTATGACACATTTATGCAGAATATGCAGGTAATTGTAGATTCACAAAATATGCTGTCTATGTGTAAGAACAGTTCAGCAAATTATGTGTGTAAGAATGTTACCAATGTTTTTGAGCCTTAACACCTGTTAGTTTAGAAGAAAGCCAAGAAGGGGTTGTTTTGGATTATATACAATGTTTTATTGCATTACATGTTTGTCTGATGTGTTATGATGAAGATTTGACAAATATGCAGTACTGTTACCTTGAGCATTTTTTTCTGAAAGGTCAGTATAATTTACAATATTCCATAAGTAGAGATTTTAATAATAGAGAATTTTTGTTATACGTTTTAATTCTACTTATAACGATATGTATAATTATATTTTTATGTATAAGTTAAAACCATGTTTAGATATAAGTATAAAATTACAAACTTATATCAGGCTTGACCTACACCACTTGTTGAGAGTGAAACATGTTTACCCGTGCCAGGGAGACCTTCACTGTTTATTGTGCAGTCAGTTCACACATCTCTAATTCCAAAAACGTAAACTGATAAACTTGATACTTCTTATTCTAAAACATTACCTGTTTGCCATGTGGTGCCATCGGTAAGAACGTTAGGTTTTAGAAAACGTTTAAATCTCGAGGGAGTGAATTCAAAACCTGACAATCTATTCTTTCATTTCTAACCATCCAGAATACATTTTCTCGATCTCTTTTTTATATAACACATCCACGTTGATCTATCAAAACATTTTTTGGCAATATGAGTCATTATATACAATGGAATAACAATATTTCCCCACTGATTCATAATATTCAAAGTTATTTGATTATAAGATCGGGATGGCGAATTTTCATAAATATTTTTTAAAATACTATTGGTTACCCATAGAATGATCACAATTTGTTAAAGAGAATGCATACAAATTGTGCAATATTTTTCGTTTAAAAATGCATTTTCTCGTTGAAACCAATAATAAATTCAAATATTTTTATAGAAATAATAAAACAGTTAATCATAAGGGATCTTATAAGGCTGCCAATTACGTATATAGAAACTGTTGATTTATAACGAATGTGCAAATGTATTTATAAAAATACTAACACACTTAATTTTACTCTATCTTGTTTTAACAACTTTTATACTTGCTTTTACATGGGTTTATCAATTTCATGTCACATTTACATGATTAAATTTGAACTGAACCTTTAACCATCAAAATAGCAAAGCAGTCTTAAGCTTTAAAGATTGCTAATTGTAACAATAGCAAGAAGTGTAATATAAACAATTGAAATCTTATATGCAAAATATGGATTTATTAGCGAATTAACACATTGTATGTAGGATGATCAATTTATTATGATGTAATCATCGGCTCCAAGAGACAAAACAATATGATATAAACTGGGAATCACTCATTCCAACATATGTGTTGTCTTTAGAATGAAATTACACAATCTTACATCATCATAGGTGTTCAAATTATTGCACCATATAATTGAATTAAGTATATTTGGGAAAAGTTTGAACATCCTAGCTTTATTAATAAAGATTCCTCAAGTGAGGGTAGAGTCAGTTTGTGGGATATGGCATCTGCTAGGTCCATTGTTCTTCTTCCATGTAGCAGAAATAAAGGCACTAGAAATTGTATGCATGAATCCTACCAGTATGCTCAAAATGGTGGCATTCGAAGATCAAAGAATCACAAAGTCAATTGTGTTTCCATAGATCAAGCCCTCAAAAACTATAAACAACGATCACAAGACATCATGTGGACTCCTTGGTGTTATGAGATGGGAAGGTGCCCTTATTTAGATTGGTTTGTGCCCAACATGTAACAGAAAAATCTGCAGAGGGTATAAAACATGTCATTGCCCATAGCCAATGGGGTTTAGAGGAGTTCATGCGAACCCTCGGTCAAAAATTCCGAAAGGTTCATGAATTAAATTAGGTAAGATTTAACCCATCATGAGAAATCGTGGCTTTCATATTTCTTGTTAAAGGCAGAAAGATATGATGAGTATCAGAATGGATTTAACCATTTACTGTGTTCATGTAGACCTGTGTAGCGTGGTGTAACGGATTTGGGTCTTAGGATGTATAATCT